ACAGACAGACAGTCAGACAAACACAGACAGCCATGCAAACATATCATGCACGTATGTATGTACATGTGTATGTACATGTAGATGTGCATGTACGTGTGTGTGTGTGTGTGTGGGCGTATGTGTGTGTGTGTATGTAAATATGTATGCACATGTATCTTTACGTTTGTATGGATGTCCGTATACATGTATGTAAGTAACTATGTCTATGCTTGTATGCCCGTTTCTATGCATGTCTAAAACTGACATGTTGCATGTATGTATGTATGTATGTATGTATGTATGCATGTATGTATGTATGTATGTATGTATGTATGTATGTATGTTTTCGTATGTTTTCGTATGTTCTGGCACGTATTCGTATGCATTTATTCTGTGAACACACACAAACAAACACCAGACAAACAATCAAACCAACCAACAAACGAACAAAACTACACACACACACAAACAAACAAAAAGACAACCAAACAAACAAACAAACGAATAAACACAGACAGACAGACAGACAGACAGACAGACAGACAGACAGACAGACAGACAGACACAGACCCACCCACCCACCCACCTACCCACCCACCCACGCACACGTACACGCAAACACGCGCACACACACACACACACGCGCACACACGTGCACACACGTGCACACACGCGCACACACACCCGGGCTCACGACACTTCCTGCCCTGCTCGAGAAGATAACACATTCTCCGCTTATCTGGGCGGGGGTTACCTCCAGTCGAGGATAGCACGCTCTCCGGGCGTGTCATCCAAGAGTTTGCCTCGGTGCACTGGTGGACGTTTGGGCGCCAGCGTTTGAGGATAAACCTCAACCCATAGGCTGTGGAGCGACTTTTGGGGTGAAAGCCGGTGGAGCTGTGGCCACCACGGGGCTGTCTACTTCCCTCCTTAAGCCGGAGGCTGCCTGGAAGAGGCCCTTCACAGGGCCAAGGACAGGCGGGGTGACAGACTGGGGCTTCGGGAAACCACGTTTAGAGAACTACAGCACTCGACAAGAGTCTTGGGCACTTTCAGGTTTTACCTCCGCAGCTTTCACACACCAGGTGCTGGTTTTGGAGCTTAAGGACGTGGGTTGGGTGAACCCCTTTGCAGCACACTCTGGCTTTGGCAGAGCAGGGAGTGGCCTGTTTCGGTTCCAAGTGCTTCCTAGGGCGGCTGTGCAGCAGTCGAAGGCCACAGGCTTGGCATTCAGCATTTGCCCCCGGCCTCGCCCAATCGCGACCTGTCAACTCCTGGAACCATTCGGCCACAGTTTGGCACGCAGCAGCAGCAGCAGCAGCAGCAGCAGCAGCAGCTGCAAAAAACAACAAGAACATCATTCATTCGCACGCAGCGGGAGAC